TATGCGACGCTTGCGGATTTCTTCCTGCACATCAGGATTGTTTTTCGCATCATTCAAACGGTAAGAACGAATTGTAACGTCTGCCTTTGTTTCAAGTTTATGTGCAATAGAAGATTCAATAAAGCGATGTTGTGAAATTTTCATAGTTTTCTCACTATAGAGTTTAAGTTAGTTGGGCTTACAGACCGATGATTAGAACGGTAAGTCGTTTGGTAGAGTGTTTCCATAATTTTGTTCATAGATAAGTCGACCTACATTATCACGTAGACGATTACGAACTTCGCGTGTTACAGCTTCTTGATGAAATTCAATATTGTGTTTGCGAGCAAATTGTTCGACTTCTTTCACTACGGACTCAAGATGAGACTCTTTCAATGTCCCTACATTAATACTAATAGAATGGCTATCTACATCTTCTGGCTTAGTGTAAAATACACTTTTCCCGTCGCCATCAACAAAGCGTTCAACATAGTCATACGCTACAAGATCTTTTCCAAAAGTACATTTTTCGCCATACGCATGTAAGGGTTGGATAGAAATTGGATGATCAATTGGCATTGCTTTTACTGCAGCAATACGTTGCTTTTGAATATCCTGAATAGCAATGGCATTTTCTTTAATGCCTTTTAAAGGATACGTACTTACTTTAAAGTCTGCTTTTGCAACAACTTTATTGATAGTCGCAGATTCGATGAATGCATGTTGTTGAATTTTCATGTTCAAATGTCCATAATAGTTAAAAGAGAAATCAGAGACAACGAATTATCTCTGATTGGAAAATTTACTTCTTGGTGGTTTTAACGCTACTTGTTAAAATCCAATCATGGTGCGCACCGCGTAGACGTTCGGTGGTTTCGCTTATGACTCTAGAATGAAGGACATTTCGAGAATTTTTATATGCAACATCAGAACAATTTGTTATCTCTTTGACTTTTTCAAGAGTTTCAAAGTACCCTTCCACTTTCTCTTTTGGAATTTCCATCAAAGAAGCCGTAATACCATCAGCTGTCGGTAGTTCGACAAATGACTGGATAGATTCAGCCGCGACAGGAACGTCTACCGCGGTGCCAATATCAATAGGATGGATTTCTATCGGCACTGACGTTGGAAAAGAAGCTAACACTTTTTGACGGTGCTCAGCGATCTCTTTTTGGGTTTTCAATTGTTTATGGTGGTGCACTGCTTTTGGAATATCTTTTTCGATTTTGGGTGATAAAATGTTACCCATCGCAAAGATTTCACGAAAAGACATATGCTTATCTTTCTTAGACATAGTGCTTATCCTTTATTTCGATCATCGCGAACACTATAGACCCAATCAATATTTTTACGTCGCACTACATTTTGAGTAGTATTCCATAAACGTTCTGCGGATTGCTCTTTCACTTCAAAACCGATATGTGAAGCTACTTTACCAATACGATCAAACACTGGCTTTACTTTTTCTTCCGTAAGGTGCGTTTGAGCTGCTACGGTTTCGCCTGCAGGATTTTTAACATCGGTGTAGCGACCAAACCCATGATTATCACCAATACAATCGTAACTAATTCTAACTTCCGCATCGGTAGGGATTGCTTTGAGGAACTTTTCACGTTGGGCATAGATTTTCTTTGGGTCAGTTAGTGGAGCTAATTCCTCTGGCTTTAACTCAACTGCATTTTCAAGAACAAGGTGTGTAACCTCATTCTCGTTGCGGAAGTTAGCATATTCAGAATCAGGACGTGGGCGATCGTTGGCAACACCACGAGCGAAGCGGTTTGGGCGATAGATTGACATATGGTTATACTCCAGTTGATTTAATTACTGCTTGTGGGCAGTGGTAGTTACAAAAACCATCTAACATAGATGCAAATAGATCACGCATGTATGCATGGACAATTTTCTGAACGATTAGTTTATCTACCTTTTCATGTTCGCTATATTTAAAGTCAAACACAATATCTTTAATAAATTTTGGATCGCATTTCGCAACAAATAAAACATGAAACGGTTCTTTAGATGGCATGTTAATGTAGCGATCATCGATGAAGATATCTGGATATGAATTATGTCTAAGTAAATCTAATAAATTTACCTTTGGAATTAGTTTAAAGACTTCGGCATTGAATTGCTCGACATCGCCCTGACCTTTACAGATCTTTGCAACGCTAGTGATTGTATCTGGAGTCAGACGTGAGTTAATTGCTTCGACAACTGCTTTTTCTATTGCAATACGTTCCTCTAAAATACTTTTAACTGCTGCGCGTGGTTTACGTGTCTTACGGGGTGTGCCTTCTGATTTTATTGGTTGTTCAGGTTGAGTTTCTTTGTTTTCCATTTCATTACCTATCTGTTGGATGAAAAGAAAGATCGGAATGATCATTCATAATGGTAATATGTAGTTAAAATATCTTTAATCTAACAACTACAGAGTCATCTCATAGGGCTAATCAATATTTTTTAAAGAAAAAAAAAATAGATAGAAGAATGGGAGTCCGAAGACTCCCTTCTTAATTAGCTAATAGATAATACACCATCAGCCAATCTTACCGATGTTTCTGGCAAGATGTTTATCTTCACATTCTTACGCACACCATCCAAGAAGACAAGTTTATTGTCTAAATTAACTGGGAAGTTATACTGATTGAAACCTTCGCCATTGACGATAACTTTATCTTCAGTACAATCGGAAAATAAAGCAATCTCTTTCGGTAGGGATTGCTTCAATGTTTTTACCTTGTTCCCATAATCACCGATGACTTGGTCTAAGTCTTTTCCTATTTCCAATATTTCATTAAACTCGATCAACGGATCGTCAAAGGTGATTAAGAATGATCCTTTCTTACGATTGTAAGAATAATTAATTGCTCGTTCATGGAGATGGTCGAAAATATCAACCTCCGATTCAAATTTGTATTTAACTCCGTCTGCCTGAATTGAAATTTTAAGATTGTTTAATTTGATTGGGAATTTCATTGTATTTTCCTTTCTGGATAAAATTGTGTTTTGTCACTGGGATAGTCCCAGTGACAAAAAATGCTAGTATGTAAATTGATTGACGCCTAACTCATAAATCTCATTACTTGGTAACTCTTCAAGTTCTTCCTCATTTTCATCAAAATTGAAAGAAATACTTGTATGCATTAACCATGAAACTGGAGGAAGCCCTGCTGAGATATTAAGTAGATGTACGTGTTCTGGGCGAACAATAATTTGGATCTGTTCAACTTTCTTCTCCTCTTCACTAGAAGTGATGAAGCCTTTGCAATCTAAAGTAATTTCATTTTTCGCTGCTTGAACCTTTAGTCCGTAAAGTGGTTGTTGACCGCCGCCACATTTAACTAGACTTTGCCCTTCACTGTCAAACATCTCAAAAGAATTTTGATGTTCGCTTGATACGTGGAGATTTACATCTATGCCAGTTACTTCTTTAAAATCTTTTACTCCCTTTAAGATTCTAATTAAATTGCTATAACGCTTATCTGCTTCATCTTGAATATAGTGGGCAGCATCGTAATACTTCTTCAATGTCGATGGATCAATAGCTTCTCCATAGATATGAACATGAGCAATTTTTAATTCCTTGAGGTAGTGATATTTCAATATTGGACAATTAAAAATTCTAGAAACAATGTCTTTCGGATCGACCTCGGCGCGGACTTCAATGCAGATTCGTTTACTTGCATATCCCACATGAGAAATTGCGATAGAATGAGTTTGTAATAAGTATTGTGATTCAGCAGTTAACATTTTAATTTCCTCGTAAGGTATATAGTGATTGTAGGCTCATAGAGCCTCTGTGTGCAATGGAAACCATTTGACAATGGAATTTGCTAGATAGAAGTATATCGCCTATAGCGCTTAAATGCAAGCTTATAAAGGCAATGTCTTCATAGTGGTAATATGTATTTGAAATAAAATAGAATGAGGGGGCATAAAAAGACTCCCCTCCCAATGAAGGGAGGAAGGAGAAGTGCAACAAA